AAATTCAGTGCTAGCCGGAATGTGCGTGATAATTTCCACGTCTCTCTTCTATTATTATCTTTTACAGTTTTATTTTGAACTTTTCACACTTTTCTATTAGGGACTCCACTGTTTAAATAACAAAATTTAAACTTCCAATCATGACATCGAATACACTCCTTACGAACGGAACGGTTGGCTTGTATATAATTCACTAAACTTGAAGTGAAAAACTATTTATAAATGTTTAGTAACAAATAATAATTTTTAAAGAATTTTTTTAGACATTTTAAACTAGAATTAAGACTATAATTGCATTTATTAATTTTCAGATATAGAATAGAGGTTTATTGTTGCAAACACTAAAACGTTTAAGTGGATGCGTAAAGTGAAATAATTCTTAATATTATTGTAAGACCAGTGTTATAGAAAAGTCATGTCGTTGTCAATATACCACAATGGGATATAACAGACTTATAGAACAGATGCAACAACAAAATCTGCTTATAGCCCTTCCAATTGTACAGCCTAGTTGTAGATGTCATGAAAGATGTCTACAGGTAAAGAAGAAGGAATAAATGGATTCTCATATGCCTATTATCATAGACTGTCATTGATATGCATAATCTAAAATAAAATACCTTGATTCTCTGATAATGACAGCTGCCCTTATAATCCACAAGAATAAAAATAAAGATATGCAACTAATTTTAAAAACCTCTTCATAAATTACTGTAAGCGAGCAAAACATCAGTCAGTGAATAATTTCTAACAACGTGAAATATTTATTTCTTTTAAAATTAATTAATATAAAAAAGCGAAAAATGTTTTTTTTAAAAAAATAATTTAATATAAAAAGAAGCGAGTTGTACGTTACAGTACTTCAAACTTAATAAGTAGACTTGAACCTTGCTCTTATACTTAAAAGCAATACTAAACAACAGTCTTAGCGGTCAGAGATTGTGTTATCACTAACAATATATGGAACATATAAAATCTGTGGTCGGTACTTACTTAAAAAGTACGGACTATTATCACACAGAATTAAGATAATAAGGAAAATGAACAAATAAGTTATATACTAAGCTACTCTTCTTTAACAATCCACTTGACAAGGCTTACCATTCTCGTTTAAGTTTTTTCATTTATTCAGAACATTATTCAAATAGGTTGCTATAAGTACAAATAAGTGGTATACAATAACACAAACAATCCTATTTACACTCATTCTATCTGCGCTACGCCTATACTATCTGACTTATATAAACCAAGTCCGCTAGGTACTAAGCTTTTCGCTCACATCCTCTCCTCTGATTATTGGAATAAAGTTTACACATTGCTGTGAAAATCTCCATCATTCATTTCTAAGAATTGATTTTAGTGGCTTTCGATGTTTTCCACCTACCGGAAAAAGAACAGAATCATTAAATAAGAAGGTAATAGCGTGATTCTATTGTATGTAGATTTGAAGAAGCCATTTTATGAAGTATTAATATCCATTAAGATCGGTTTCTTTCTATCAATTTCAACATTCTGGGTCCGCGATCAGAAAAAGATTTCTCAAAAAGAAGATAAGTCGCATTCGTCCAAAAAAAAAAGGAAATGAGTGAAAATGAGTTCAGTCTTTTTTAGAAATTTTTTTAAATGTAGACAAATCTGAAATTTAGTATAACACCGAGCAGACTACTAGAGATTTTTGCTAAAGTTAGTATTCAAGCAATTTGCAATAGCAGAATATCTCAAATAGTGGTATCTGGGTCTTCAATAAATTGACAAAAATTGTTAATGATCATTAAATTAGTCTCTAAAAATTAAGTGAAGAGAAACCCAAATCGGAGATTAAATTTAATTGTCTTAAAAATAAATAAATTCAGGAATGTATAAAATTTCACGCACTCCCGCTTGGTGAAAGCGGGAGTGCTAAACATTTTCGTGGCTATTGCCTTTGAAACCGTTGACGTGCATTCCTTTTGCTATTCCATAAAATTAACCATTGGCACGCATTCCATTTTCGAGATGCACACGTTCCACCAATAAAATCTGACAATCTCAAAACCTTACATCCTGTGGTATTTGATTGCAGTGGAAGCGCTGATGGCACTTACATACTCTAAATGGTGTACTTTCGGTACAGTAAGACGGTTCTACTGAAATTGCTGTGTAACGTCACATTTACCAGCGACACATCCTGCTAAGCAAATTTTCACTGAAATTTCCCATTCAATACAATTTGCAATAATTTAATGGAAACTACAGTTGGGTGACAGTAATTGTCATTTTGACTTTTTTCACATTCACAGTACAGAAGAGATTGGTGGATGGTTACAGCTGCAGATGCGTGCAGTTCAAGTTGAAGTGCAATTTGTCTTGAAACAATCCTGAATTTTGCTGTCGAACTTGAATTTTCAAAAGTTTTTGATGAGTTTATACTTTAAATAAAAATTAATGTTTGAAATCTCAATATTAATAATATAAATATGAGCGAAAAGTCCTCTGAAAAGAATAATCGAAACCTAGAGTTCAATAAATCGGTTGAAGTCATGGGATAGGTCAGTATGGAAAGAAGAAGCATATAATCTGCAAAAAAGTAGATTGAACCTGATCAGGTGACTATGGTGTATGAAAAGTATATAGTGCTAATGCACCAATTAAAAGAAAAGTAAGAATATGCCGAAAAGAAGATGGATCTATGGCAGTAGTAAGAGACCACAACAAATTAAATGTTCATCATTGGACTGCCGTAGTTTTAGATTTGAAATAATAGAAAGCAATGTTTATGGAAACAGGTCTGTCAGGGCCTATAATACTAATAAGCAAAAAACCACATATAAGCATTTTACAACACAAGTGTATGGTTAACTGAATGGTAGATGTCGTAAAGTTTTACGAACAAATTTTATTATATCTATTTAAATACAGTTTTTATATTTGTGTATTTTTAAAACGATGTTTTGCCGCGCTTCTGTCGGAAGATAGAACTGCATTAAACATTAAGGAAAAGTGTCTCAACACAAGAATCATTTGAACTTCCAGTAGTTCCCGCAGTTTCTATCTGCTATAAATTCCGAAAGCAACTTCATTTATAATTAATAATTGCACATAACGTCACGTGACATGAGTGCAACTGCAGCCTTTGCCACGCATACAAAATGTTGCAGACTCAACCCATAATGTGCCCAAAAAAGTCGCGTACTGCACTTAAACTGGGTTTTATGTGTGCTAAGCCAAAAATGTAAGAAACTCGTAAATGATTTCGATAAATTTTCAAAAACCAACAACAGCTCCGAATGCACTGGTATTTTATGTTGAAATTATTTACCAAGGAATCCCAAACAAAATAGTAAACAAACTTCCTTTCGTATGTGCACTCTTGCCTTATTTAATGTTTATATTAATAAAACCACACAAAGGCACGTTTAGATAGTAAATTAAAAAACATCCGAAAGGATAGAATATTACTATACAGGACATTGCCACACTTCTACATATAAGAACTATTTAGTTTAATATAACTGAAATTTCAAGCAATTTTTTTAAAAGAGTAAATCAAGGTTAATGTCTATACAGTTACTCATTTCTTTTAATAATATATAAAATCACTCATAGCACTTGAAATGATTCAAATGATATAGTACTTCCGAGATTATAGTGAAAATATAAACTAGTAATCACATTATAATCACTACTTACCATCTGTTCAAACAATAAAATGAATTCTCTCCTTAGTGGAAGAATGGGCATCCATTTTCATTTTGTGTCAAACTCTGTTTATTGCTTCTCGATGGATATCGTTTCAATAATGATTTCTTTTACATCGATTAAGCACTAGGTGGCACTACCGAGTGATGCCTATCTTACGAATTACAACTAAATATCTGAGGAGCAACATTTTTGTGAGGCCTGCATTTGCTACTGAAGATGGTAGGTCTTTAACTAAAGATATCTTCTATCTTAAGTTAAGATTATTAAATAAATATAATAGAAGTGCTTAACTAAGGATGAAGTAGAAGTGTTATACTAAAGATGAAATAGAAATGTTTTACTAAGGATGAAGTAGAAGTATTCTACTAAGTATGAAATAAAAGTTTTCTAATGAAGATGAGGTAGAAGTGTTCTACTAAAGATGAATTAGAAGTGACTACTAACGATGAAGTACAAGTGTTCTACTGAAGAAGAAGTAGAAGTCTTACTCTAAAGAAGAAGTAGAAGCCTTCTACTAATGGAGAAGGAAGTTTTCTACTAAAAAAGAAGTTGAAGTCTTCTACTAAAGAAATAGAGAAAAGAAAGCTAAAGAAAAGGAGTTTGGAATCGTCAGTGTTAATGTTAACATTGTAAGCCGAGACAACTTTATCTGAAGTCTTTACTTGGAATCTTTTTGTCTTTTTGTCTAGAAATGAGAGAGCCAAACCGAAGTTAGAAGAAAAACGATAATTATTAAAGTTGCGTGAAGGTTCGTAAAGATTATCATACTGTAATCCGCTTAAATGGACTTTTTGAAATATGCTTAGTTTATTAAATAGAAACAGCAAATTGTTTTTTTTTTATTTTTTTTTTTATTGCCGGGTTATTGTCATGTTTGTGTATGGATGTGTAAGGGTGTAAGTAAGTGTTGAAGAGTTTTATTCGTAAAGAATTTTTTTTTAATTGTCCCATAATTAACAAATAATACATATTATAATTGCCCAAAATTTAAACATTTAATAAATTAAAATAAATGTATTTAAATAGTGGAAGTTTTACTTCCTTATATCCGGGCTATGGCTATGTATTGTATTTATGTGTAATGTGTAAGTGTGTGTCAATTATTTTTATAATGAAAGCTTTTGTAGTCCCAAAATTAACCATAATATTAAAAAATGTGATTAACAAATGTCCCAAATCACTTAAGAAAAAAATAAAAACTTTTTAAGAAATAAATATACCATAAATATCATAATGTAATATATGATATTTGCTTATGACTGTATTATTTTACAGTGAATTTTTTTTTAATTGTCCCATTAACTTTAAAAATAATTATTATAAATGTTAACATTTTATCTTGTATTTATTAAACGGGTTATTGTATTGTTTTTATATTTATGTGTAATGTGTGTATATGTGTGTATGTGTGTGTAGTTTTAGTGATCGCACAAATTCCTATATTTCTTCAATTTCCGTATGGACACAATAGCGAGTTCATAAAACAGATTGATCAATGGAGTCAATTTCAATCTGTTTCGGTTCTTCCTCCAGATTAACTAAAAATGGGAATATTTTGTTAAAAACGGTTGTGTTGTCCAAAATTTGTGTATTGGACTCACTAAGCATATCTGCAACCGTCTCCATTTTCTCATTGGACATATTTAATTTCTTTTTAATAATAGTCTTACTATCTACTGGTTTCAACAAGCGTCCCTCGTCTGCTTTTTCGACTTGTGGTACATCCACTTCACACAAACAGTTCACAAAATTCATCGTACAGACATCTGAAGCTTCATATGATTGTTCACTTATGACATTTTCACCAACATTTTTAGGTACTGTTTGAGGTTCCGGATGCGGATCCGCAGAAACTTTCTGTTCGGTACTAACAGTTTCTTTGGGATCATGTTTTGGATTTACGTTTCCTACACAACCTTTCACCTTATTCGCAATACCTTAATAAGCAATAATTTAATATATTAAGGTTACCAATTATAATGTGTTGCATTCTTACCGGATTTTGCAACAGTAGCAGTACGTTTACGTGGGCTTTTTTTCACTTTCGGTGTAGAATGTAATGCCGCAGGAGTCTCAACATCAAATTTGTCCAATTTATCATTTGATACATTAATATTTATTATGATATTTGGCTCTTTTGTGGACTTGCGATGGCGATTTCTTCTGAATTTAAAAAATTCTTTAATTTTTTAGGTATTATTTTTTATCAAAAGATCTTACCCTTGTGAAGTGCAGGCATCCAAAAAGAACTTTATTGCTATCCCAACTAGAAGTATCACAATGAATACCAGCAAATATTGTTGTTCACCAAGTGTTTGTAGGACGGAATCGAAAGTCGAATTATGAAGACGATGATGGTAATGGGTTGGCTCACTTGAAAAATTACACATACATTCGTCAGACATATTGGAACTACAAACGCTTGTAGTTTACTGTTTATTTAATTAAGATATTTCTAGTATAAGAAGAAATATTTCCCTTTGAAACCACACCAGTTCAAGTAAAAATTTTAACTTAATAAGCAATCCGCAAATATAGTAGATAGACCTGTAATTAAATTTAAAAATAACATCAGTAGTATTTTAAAACTAATTCAAGTTTTTATAAGCAAATTATTACTATTCCTAATATGCTTGTATATATATATAGTGAAGACGTCTTTCAGTATAAAGGAAAGAATGATTAATTTTGAGAGCTTACCTTTAAACTTAAAAGAAATTACTCTTGATTTAGGATTCGAGTGTTCAGTTTCCGTAAATGATATCTGTATTATTTTCCTTATAGTTCAGTGTACCTTTAATCGCTATACCTGCTATCACTATCTACACTTATAGTTGAGATCATTTTGTAAATAATAATAATTTTAGGGTAATTATACGAAGCTATATGTTAGCAAAAAAAAAACAATTTGATATATTTACAGTAACAGAAGCGCTAGCGTTTTAGGTTATCTCCCATAAATAGAATTTAATAAAATTCGTTTAGAAAGCAGCCCTAAAAATATTTTAATCCAACAGTTGTTGCATGTTATGAAAAAAATAAAACCCAGCAATCTTAGAAAATTCAATCAAGAGCAAACTGTTTTTTTTCATATATCGATTAACAAATTTGACAATATAAAAAATTGCAATTTTCTTCGAAAACATCAGACTTCTGCAGAAACTGATTTTCTTGATAACCATCTTAATCAGAGTAGTCTGATTTAAGTGGATAAATAGTAAAGTACAAATATTTCTGATAGACATAAAACAAAACTACATATATCGCAGCTATTAGAAGAGCATATTTTTTGCATTCCCCAAGAGGGACTAATATCAACATATGGGTTCACATGGCAGAGAAAATGAAAAACATTCCTCATCAACAAAAAAAAAAATCCTCATCGTAATATATATCAAGTAGTCTTTAATACAAAATAAAAGCATTACTAAAATTAATATAAAACGCAAAATATATAATAAATAATTTACTTACTTGTTACTAACAAGAGGAACTGATCCTAAAAATCAAAAGTTGCCTTTGACTTCTTCCGATATATATCCCGCATTTACAACGGACGCAGATATATAAATGTTCAAAAACAATATAACAGTTGTTAATTCATGCTATCGTCCTGAATCTGTGCTAATGTATACTGTTATAATTTGGATGGAATTGCAGAGAATTTTATATGCGTAAAAATATTTTTGTTCTCTTATTTGATATATCAAAATTTTTATATTTTATAAGCCTACTTTTTAAAAATAAAATAAAACGCAGTAATATTAAAGTTAAACAAAATATTTAAAATTCCGATTCCTTTGTTTTCCAACTCATGTAATAATTTTTATAATTTTAATAAGTTGCTTTCCCCTTATACTGGTCCATATATACCATATTAAAATAATACACCCCAACTTTTTTTACACGGATTTGAAAATACATGGTTGAAAAAAAACTTTTTTTGGTAAAAAATTTTTAATCTAGTACGGTCTCAAAATCACAGTCTTGTTTGACACTTGGCATTTTTTTTACACGGATTTCTGAGGAACATATCTACCGTGTAAAAAAAGAGTTGGGTGTATATGATGTAGCAGTTTACTATTGTAAATAATTAAACAAATGTTCAGCAATGTATGCTATTTTACATACAAATCCACACAAAAACTTAATAGTTCTGAGTGTAAACATAATAATTGAAAACAAAAATGTAAGCTTGACGTTTTTGTTTACAGTGTTTACACTTATAATTATCGGACCAATCCGTCATATTTAGGTTTACATATGTGTTTCTTCGAACATTTGTAAAACCACGATCTATATATTGATTTAACGGCACCTGCATATGACAGAACTTTTAGTTAAGTGTTTTATTGATGAAATTTGTATATTAACTCTAGTGTTGTTATTATTAGGAGAGACAATGGTACTTGACAAATAGAATCTGTTGTGTTATTCCTGAAGAGAGTTCCTTAATCAACCTGGACTAAGGTTGTTGGCAAACTTTACAGTTTCTCTGGGTATCAAATTCCAGACTTCACCCATTCAATGAAGGTACTGAACTCGATTCCTGGAAATCGCATGACTTGAGCAAATATGTTGAGAAGGGAGTAAAGTTTCCCTCTGTATTTCACAGATTCTGTTGGTGCTGGCGGGATTAAGCTTTATTTCTAAAAGGTGATGATTAACGCAAGCGTATCCAGTTTGGAAACTATTGATTAATTTGAGCTCAGTTTTATTTTGACCATTTTAGTCTTTAGAAGAGTTCTCGAACCGTTTTCCATTTCTGCGAAGTGTCAAACTCCAGAAAGAAGCAGAAAAACGTATCATTTATGGTTCTCCGCAGACTGGAATAACATATCTTGTAGATTACTAGTGCTTTTATTATTACTAGAAAATTTCATGTTTTTTTGTTAGTTTCTCTCACAGATCGTTCGTTCATTAAGTTAAGCACTTAATGAATAATTAAAATTGAATATTAAAACGATGTTCTTCTGCAACTAATTTTAGATTGTTGAAGTACTTTTTCATAATTATGAAGTACCTGTGCACTTAAATAGATTTTTTGTCGTTTCGCATTTTACACTCTTCTCACTACAGATGTTATTCCAATTAGTCAACATATTTGAACTTCATCAGACCAGTAATTAAAAAGTTATAAAATATATAAAATTCTACTTTATGTGGTACTCATCCTTCTTTCTTGTTGCCACTATCTTTTCTTTTTGTCAAATTAATAATAATTGTTGAATTTTATTGTCTTAAACCTTTTTTTCCATTCGTATAAAATATTTTTGCAATGCTCGCATTTGCCACTCATCTGAACCCTCCCCTACACAAGTGCTCGGAGAATTTTCGACTTAAGTACTTTATCGTTCCTCATTGTCGATGATGTTGTGCTTCTGGTTTTATTGTTGCGTTTTGTCGTTGCCACTTATGTAAATGCTCTTATCCTGGCGTTATCCTGTGCAAGTTTAGGCGTTAACGCCATTACATGAGCTAAAATTCTATTCGTTAAACGTGCACCGGTGTGCACACGCCAGCAGGAAGCGGCTTAACATCGCAACTTAACATCTCAAGAGCACTTGAAAAACAGTTTTAATTGCTGTGGAACAATTAAAAAGGTGTCGAGTTGTTCTGATTTTTGAAAATTTTACAAGGTGAAACACTAAAGGGTTAAGTGCAGTAAAAGAAATTTGAAGATTTCAATTTTTGTTGATGTTGCGTTTGTTGTTTTGGTTTAGTGATATATCTTCTGTTGAATATAATATGGACATAGAGATACGATAAAATATACGATATACATAAATTGTTTAATACTTTATTTTTAATACTTTTAGTACTCTATTTTTAATACTCTATATTTGTTGCGAATTCGAATGTAAGTAGTTCTTACTCCAAATCATGTGGCATTTAACTAACATTAACATTTTTTATTGCTTGTTGGTAATTAAAAGATAGTGTGAGCTTCCGATACTCTTATAAAGTAATCAAGATTAAGTCTTACTTCAATAGGATTAATACTTATCAATTGATATTAATTTAGTGTGTTAACATGCAAGCAGACATCTCAAACTTGACAGGGTGTTATTTTTGATATTTGCAGTACAAAAATTATATATGGATATATAAACCTATTGGTTTATTCCATAAAAGCAATATCCGTAATTTTTTCTTTCAGAGTTGTAAAAAAACAACATTAAGTCTAGTTGAAACAAATTGGCATTAATTTTAAAATAAGTTAAATGCAAAAATATGTTGTGCACAATAAGAAATAAAAAAATTGTTTAATTAATTTATTTAAATAAAAGAAAACAATATGAAAATTAAAAGCGCAATGGTTAGCATTTTTATATTATATATTTAATTTAAACTATTAATTTATATATTTAAATTTATTAGTGAATGAAATGCTCATATGATTTCAACGGATATCTGAAGTTTGGCAACATATTTCTAGTGAACATTCACAATAGATTGATTTTTGAACTTGACTGCACTGAAACTTACGAAGTAAACTATTTGCGAGTAAAACCTAACTCTGAAGATTTTAAGAGCACTGTTGTTCTTAGTTCACATGTTTTCTTTCGTAAGTTGCAGATATTTTTTTGTTACTCTAAAAGAAACAATTACGGCTAATGATAATGGATATTTGGTGGTATCCAGAAAAGCTGTATGGTTAGTTCATAACTCACTTAATTTATGTAATTAAAAATGATTTCATTTTGAATTACTTTACTTTTCCAGAATAAATAACTTGCCACTTAGGCATAAAATATTTCATTTACTATTTCATTGCTTAAATGTAGTTATTCTTTAAGGGTTTTATTGACCCTTTTTTCGAATCCACTTTGTGAAATCTGTTTGAAATTTCAGTTTGTTTTCAAATTTGCTAGACTTGCAGAAATAATATAGAAATAAAAAGAATGAAGTAATATTAAAGTTGTATTATCTTAAGAAAAATATACAATTTTTTGCATATACATACTAGCGAATAAATGCTTAAACCGCCCACATAATGCGGCATAGAGAAATATTATGTTATTTTGGTTGAATATATTTTTTTATTATAATTTTTAGTTTTTATAACTTTGGTAAGAAAATTTCAACAACAATTTATCTTCAGAAAATTTTATAATTTCACACAATTGCGCTCGTGAGTTGAAATTTTTATAGCAAATTTGCCATAAATTCAAGGATCACATAAATCTCATACGGAGGCACAAAAATGCAATAAAAATTTAAGGAAACATATACCAAACTAAAGTGGTTACAGGAAGGCCATGTATTCCATGTGTCGAGAGCACATACAAATCATAGCTACATGTTTGTAATGTGCTGGAATGCACCGCAGGAGTAATAACAGTTTGTAGTTCTGTAATGGTATCGCCTCTGATATTGGTTAATTTCACCTGCTGCCACATCGCTGCTTTACGTTTCTTTGCGAAAATATAAGAACTGGTAAGATTTTATGCAAAATATGCACAAAAATATTATTTGGCAGCGGTGGGATTCGAACCCACGCCCCCGAAGAGACTGGTGCCTTAAACCAGCGCCTTAGACCGCTCGGCCACGCTACCGCTTACGTGGCATTTTTAGTGAGACAATTTTTTTATATCTGTTCTACGCTTAACTGATCTATTTTTATTCTTGTATTATATTTTTACTTACAAAATGCATTAAATAGTTTTATTTCTAAGAAAAATCTGAATTCTTTATAAGAATTTCTTTAAGAATACACACACCCATGTTGAGAGTATCGATTAAGTGAGTAGGCGGGTGTGAACTTAATTTGTTGATATTAGCATAACACTACGTGATAATAGTTCATTATCATTGCGATTTGACTTAATTATATTCTTCAAATTATTTTAAATGTATGTAATAGTAGTTTTAGTATGTATAAAACAAATATTTCTAATTTAAAGTTAATTTTTTTAATAAGTTCGGGTATAATAATACTTATATATTATTTTTGTATATAAAATTACGCTATATAGTACAAACCCGGTCAAGAAGTACACTGTTTAATTTTGAAGAACTCTAAATACAGCCAGTATAGAAATATTGCAAAGGGGCCAACATATAAAACATACAAATATTAGCAATACTTTATGGTATATATCAAACTACTTTATCTATTAATATATTCTATAATATAAATGATTAATTGGCAACCCAAATATAGCTGTACTATTATTATCTATATAATATGGAGTATATAACAGCTGGACTGCAAAAAAGTTAAAGAAATTTTAAGTCTAACATATTCGAAGTAAAACTTAAAAAGAATTTGAGCATATTTGAACACTAAAATAATACAACTAGATAACCATAAAATCTCTTCAATCCTGGACTACCAAATGTAAATTGGACCGAAGCTGAAAAAGTCTCATGAAAAAATAAACTTTTTAGCCCTTATAAGAAAACCGTACAAGAGTCTCCGTTATAAATAAGCTATAGTTGCAACAATAGCTAGAAATATTGCACAAAAACTACTCAAGAGGACTTAAGCCAATATCAAAATCCTAAAGCTCTCAAAATAACTTCTTTTGCGACAACAAAAAATATGTCGACAATTATCATAGTCTAAAAAGATATACGTTTAGTTCAGTTGTATGTGTGGGATCTATGGTTAGAAGAGGCAGGATGTTAGAATGAGGCTTAGTGCGTAGGCACACATATCAAGTCAAAGAGTAAGCCT